CGGGAGAGAGAAAGAGAGAAAGAAAGAGACTTCGAGAGAGAGAAAGAGAGTTCGAGAGAGAGAAAGAGAGAAAGAAAGAGAGTTTAGGAGGGAGAAAAGAGAGATAAAAGAGTTGGGAGAGAGAAAGGGAGAGAAAGAGAGTTCAGGAGGGAGAAAGAGCGAAAGAGTTTGGGGGAGAGAAAAAGAGAAAGAAAGAGAGTTCAGGAGGGAGAAAGAGAAAGAGAGTTCGAGAGAGAGAAAGAGTTAAGGACAGAGAAAAGAGAAATGAAATTGCAAGAGAGAGAGAAAGGATTGAATACCTAAGGGGCGAGCTTGTGCTCGGACTCAGTTGCTAGGCTTGGTGCCGGTCGCCTTGGAGTCCTTGAAGGGCTAGGGCCTTGAGGGGAAGGTTAGGTCCAATGGGTCAAGTGGGTTTTGTGTATGGGTTAGCTAAGGAGTATGAAGCCTTTTTGGGTTGGGTGGTATAGATTAAGGTAACTTAAAGGAGTAGGGTGGAGTAGGGATTATAATGATCTATGGGGTGTAGGTAGGAGTGGGAGTGGGGACTATAGTCTAGGGAGTATGGGTAGTTGGGAGTGGGGCCTATAGTCTAGGGAGTATGGGTAGTTGGGAGTGGGGCCTATAGTCTAGAGAGTATGGGTAGTTGGGAGTGGGGGCTTTGGGAGTTTGGAGTATGGGAGTGGGTAGTTCAAAAGGTAAACTATCAATGGGGTAAAATATTCTCTCTCCTCTCTCAATTTAAGAATGAAGGCACCTAAGGCAAAATCAAGCTAATGCACCTTGATTTTTCAATTATCTCTAACCTAGGGTTACAAATGAGCATAAAATATTTATATATCATCCTCTTGAAAGATGGATGGATGATAAAAGCAAAGGACATTGTCAACAATTAAAATTTATTGAATCAAAAAGTAAAATCCCGTTTAATTTTGCCCCTAGCCAGAATAGCAGTTCCATTTACCGAAACTGTGCCATTTGATTTTGAATTGCCTTACAAGGGCCATAACTTCTTTGTTTTAAGCCCAATCAAGCTCAAATTTCAGAGTATTATTTATCTCATCAACGTGCACGTTTTGATATATGGCATGGCTCGTGACAATCCCGAATCGAGAGAAATTGTAGAGAGAAGTAAGGTTTGAAAACTCATGTGTTGCAGAATTTTTCAAAGAAGAACCTCCTCCCGCTTGAATGGCCGTATCTAGGAACCCGGCATCAGATCGCCTCAAATGTGGGTCTATTGCGACCGCAATTCTGAGGGCTTCGATTTGAGGTATAATTTGTGCAAGATTGAGGACGGACGGACACAGTATTTCAAATTACAAGGCATATTTTTCGGCGACCGGAATCCTGTTTCTTGACAACTTCCCCAACTTAGAAAACCACGATCTGGAAACCAAATCAAGGAATTTTTATCACAAAATGACCGTGATGGTATCTTCATCAATTTATGATGAAGAAATCAATCCGAAACATCATGAAACAATCAAAATCAAGCATCAAAGATCTCAAGTCTATGGTCTTTGGCTGGATTTTCAAAGTGGATCAAAAGACCCGATTCAAGACCGAAACCATACACTAAAAGGATCATCTCATCAAGCCCGTCGTTTCTACGTCATTATTTTCATCGGAAGATCGCTGAAAGCACCCGAAAATGGCCTTAAACCATTGCTATGGCTTATGAAACCTTTTTAGGAGCCATTTAAATAGTGTAAAACCTAAGATAAGCTAGGCCCATAATGGTCCAAAAGTGTCCAAATGAGCTGAAATTAGTATTCGGGGGTTTTTGGGCTTTCTGGATCCAATGGCGGTGGTCTGATGCTCATCTGAGACCTCAGCAATATAGTTCTAGTTAAGACGTATTTTTCAACATGATAGGGAGCGGTGCTGCGAAATGTAAATTTCATCCTGATCTGCTTTATCTTGATCGGATTGGGACGAAACTTGGTGGGCACTCTTAAAACACCAGATGCCACCCTTTCAAGATTTTTGAGGCCTATGAGACATCTTTTCAAATTCACTCAAAATTTGGCTAATTCAATCAATGCTCCCGTAGTCGGCAGGCATTTTTGGTTCCCACAGGACTAGTTTGTGATTGGCTCCTTCGTTATTTGTATCGGGGATACAAGTGAGTTAAAAAATATCTTACAAGTACAACTTAACTGTCAAGAAAAAAAATTGAAAATATGAAATGCTGTTCTTTATCACATGGTTAGTTTTGTTTAATATTGACTTAAGGTCTCAGAGGAAAATAATGCTAAACTTGAGACAATCGTATCCAATCGCAGTGAAAGTATTCCCTTCATAAATTCTAAGAGGTACTTTTAGAACCGGTTTCCATCTTGCTATGACCAATGATACAAGGATGGGACTGGATGGGCTTGTCTGACATGTTGGACTGGGAATCCATCTTTGGACCGTCTTTCCTCAAGTGGTGCCTATAACCAAGGGAAAAGTATCCTATACTCTCCATGAGTATATCCTCTACTAGTTCAGTGTGAAGCTTCACCATAAGGTACCCTTATTTTTCAAACCCCTTTTCTTCATACGCAGCAGTTCCCATTTTCTGACTGTGTTGAAGGAACACTAGATTAATCCTGATTCATTGTTTCACCTGTCTGGTTCTGTTTTTCTTCTATTAAATATTATCCTAACTCTCAACATGTGGAATAATGCTTATGGTGGTCATTCATCCAAGATTCGAATAAGCCTTGCTGACCCATGACAAGACTTGCTGACTGATGACATATGAACAAAGTGCTTTCAGATAAATATCTGGAGACATAGTCTCAGGAATAAACAAAGTTTTTGTTTTGGATATTTTTCTTCTGCCCCTTGTTGTATGAGGGATAATTCCTCATCTGTTGAAGAAGAAGAAAAATTAAGCAAGAAAGAAATTTGGGACTTTTAATGGTTTGTTTATTAAATGTTTCCACATACAAACTAGAGATCCCATTTATCTTTTATATTAATTAAATGCCATGAAATTATGGTAGTGGAGATCCTTTCCCAACTTGTAAGATTCAATGGCTGAAAAAAGAATTGTTGCGTGCCATTTTTCTACATAAAAAAAAAAAATGTTTTCTTAGATAAAAATGACAAATTTGCCCCCCTTCAGTGTACTGAACTGCAGTTTTCTTTGGCAGTGTCTCAATACATATGGCTGATGGTTAGAAATAACTATATTTGCCTCCCTTACTTTCCTAAGCAGTTGGGTGAAATGATGATCTTTCTCCACCCATATCACAAACTGATATTTGACAACAACATGAGAAACCAGTCACTTTTTCAACCATTATATGATATATGTTAGTTGTTAGTTATGGATTGTCTATGCCTTAATTTCATATATGGTTTTTCGTAATTTGCATATGGCAGCAGGTTAATACACAAACCTGTAAGAACCCATAATTTGCGACTTGCAGTTGTAAGATCAGCATATTTCCATCTGTAGATGAGCTCCAAGAACATCACTCCTCCCATACTGGGCCCTAAAATTCAAATTAATTCCAATCAGGACTTTTGAGGATGTTCATGCCTCTTTACGTGCCTTCTTTTGGTCTTTTATGTATAATATGCGTCATTTGGTCTGTTTCTTGCAATTCCTATTGCTTTCGTATAGATCCATGTAATAGGATTGTGTCAATATATAGAATTTGGAAGTACTGAGCTAAAGAGTAAACTGCATCACTGTTTTTTCTTTTTGCCCAGTTATCAAGTCACATGAAAGATTATTTGACCAGGACTGGACCAGCTAGTTCAGACTGGGGACCAGCCAACCTCTAACTCTTCCAGTCAGGTTTGCCCCCCTGGACTAGGATGTTAGTCCACTGGTTCGAGACTGACCTTGTTGGTCCCAATAGCCCTGTGGATTTAGTTTTCCACTGCTTTTTTGTTTTTTTATTCATTTTCGCACATTTTTAGGTGGTTCTTTTGGTCTTTCTAGATTTTCCTAGATTGGTCTTTTGGCTTAGAAGGATGGGTTTTAGTGTTTTAAAAATCTATTTCTTAGAGAGGGAAATAATTGGGCAAATTTTCTCTCCCTCTCTCTACCCAAAATACTACAATCCTAGGTCTATTTTTCCGGCCACTTTCATCTAAGATTCTTGCCATCAACCCACCCATTTGAAGTCCCAAGTAAATATATTAAACTTTTTTTTTTAATGATTAGAAAATGATAGAACAAAGTTTTTGGTTTTTTATGGTTTTTCTATAAATAAGTTTTTCTTTTCAAATAGATGCAAAATAATGTTTCTTTTGTTGATTTTAATGGTTGTTTTGTCATTATTAAGTTTGTGGTTGTATATTTTTGCTTTTTAGGAAGCCTTATATGCATGTTTAAAAAATAAATACTAATTTTTGCTTGGTTTTTCATTTTCCTTATCTTTTTTTTTTGTTCAAGGTGTTAGGTGTTAAAATAAGGCCCAGTTTAATTCTTTAATAAACTATGGAGCATAGAAGAACACTTATCCCTGATACATTTTACTTCATTTTCAGTTTTTGGCTATTTTTTTGTTTAATACTTTAATGAAACTATAGAGTATAGAAAATAGTTGGCTATTTATCCTTGTAGTTTTGTGCCTTTCAATGGACGGAGATTTGGAGATGTGGAGTTTATGAACTTGTGGAGTTTGACCTTGTTTGATATATTTTTGTTTTTCCCCAAGTTATATTTTTATTTTTGCTGCTTCCTATTTTTTTATTTTATTTTTTAAATCCTATATTTTACGGGTCTTTTTATATTTTTCTACTTCTTCATTTTTTACCATTTCTTTTTAGATGTGTGACAGGTCGAACTAGTGAACCAGGCCGGATCGGACGGTCTGACTGGACCGTTGCCCTCACCTATTCAGCCTCTGGTCTGGTTCTGATAACACGGGTCACATGATTTATACTGATATATTTACTCAAAAATTATTTGTCAAAATTCTAGAGAAGAATTGTGATCAATTCAGCTGTTCCTTTCGCTTCCTGAATTGCTATTTGTCACCACTTAATAACAGGTACTTCTTAACTGATACCGTGCTTGAAGACGTCATTTTTGGTTGGCCAAAGCACAGTGGGGGCTTACCGCTGAGACAACAACTAGCTTCAAGGCTTCAAACTGCTATTCATTCAGTATGTAGCTCTTTCAACAGCGTGTTATATTACTATAAAACCTGCAAATATGTAGTTGTAGCTGTTCCATATTGCAAATTTCTTTTCATGCCAGTAATTTACGTTGATTATGCATTATAGGACATGGGATTATGAAGCATGCTTTCTAGACTTGTATTTAAATTATTCTCATCCTTTATGTAATTGTGAAACTCAGTATAGCTGTTCTCTTGTGCACTTGAACACCTAGATATGTTTAATCTTATCCACCCCTCTCATAGTTTCATGAGTACTAAATGCTTTATTTTTGCTGTACAGGCACTAATATAATTCACATGTTAGGTTGGATTGATTGGGATTTCCATGGAAAAAGATCCACAATTTCTGAGTGGTGGTTTCAAAGGACATCTTGCACTTGCAGTTCAATTAGTATGATTATATTTGGAATAATACCTAAAGGCTTTCAGCTTACATTGTTCAATGATTTGGCATGCTAAATTTGGTATGATTTTTCCATATGTAGATTTTGTAAATATGATATTTATTTTATGCCCTGTCAGGTACGCATGCCAGATTTATTGCTGCTAGATGAGCCCCTTGCTGGTCTTGGTAATAAGTATGCATCCATGCTTTTTGTTTGTTCCTTTCAGTCTGACAAAGCCTTTTCATAATTTAGGGATGAACAATTGTTAAACTTTTAGTTTCATATGTATGCTAGTAAAAATATTTGAAAATTAGTTGGACATCATATCACACTTATCTGATACAAGTTCCCCACATGATCATCTCCTGAATGAGATGGAAGACTACAACATATCAAGTGAACCCACTTAGCAAGAAAAAAAGCATATCAAATGAAACATATAACCCAACTGAATGCACTTGTCCTATTGCATATACTGCCTACTCAAACGTCATTTTCATTCCTCTCTCTTGTACTATCATTGCTTTTGTGGATGAGATTTAATTGGAATACAAGTCCACACATTCTGACGTATATATTTTGTTCTGTTGGTTTTGGTTCTAACCTCTCAGGGACGGAATTTTTCCAGGGTTCCTTCTTTGAAACTAGGCTATGTCGTTAATTCTTACCATAAATACTGATTGGACCCTGGTGCATATGTGAGGACCTCCCTTACTGTTTATCTGCACATGGTGTCCAAGCTAACTTATATCTTGATGTCTCTAAGCTGGTATAGTTGGTTCTTAGTTCTTGTGTTCCTCCCTGTGTAAATGCGCGTGGCCTTTGTTCCTTTTTCTCTGCTTGTGATTTGATTAAGTACTCCAATTTTGTTGGAAGCTTTTGTCTAAAAGTATGTGTTGTGTGCAGTTTGGAACTGCGCTTGGTAGTAGGTAAGGTTCACTTTTATGTGGGTTTCCAAGTAGGAGAATGTCACGACCCTGCCCTCTGACCCCTTTACGGCTCTCCAGAGGGCGACAAAGTGCGAGATCGCGACTGGAGGTCGCGTACGTCACTCAGGTGGGAGTGGCATGAACATGTGTTATAATTTCAGAATCAAAGCAAACCATGAATTAAAATAAACTCATAAATAAAAGGGCCACAATGGAGCAAAATAAAACCATTTATACGGATCCAGCCGTAAAAAATTCTTTTACAAAAGGTTCAAGGTGCTACTGGCCTGTCAACAAAATTACAATATACATCAGAATGACATTGTGGCAACGCCACCAGACACCTACGATCAACAAATTCCAGGACAGAACTTGAACTTCAAGAGTCTGCTATCACCGTCCAGCAATCCACACACGAACAATCTGTGTTCACTCTACAAAGAAGGGAAAAAGAGAGGTATGAGCTAAAAGCTCAGTAAGTAAATCAGTACCCTGCATTCCTGCCTACAAGCTTATAAATAATGACATGGCCTACAGTTCATCAAACATCGCACTGGCATCAGAAAATAGAGTCATGCATCAAAATATGTACATTGACGGTATAAAATAAGTATTGTTCAGATGTCGGAGCCTCGAATATTTTCCCGAAATAGCAGTTACATTGATGCTTATCTCAGTCACAGTCAGACGATCGAACATAGTACTTAATTCAGATTGGCAGAAACAGAAACAGAAACAGGAACGGAAACATAATTATTTACTCTCGAAGTAGAAGTCACATCAATCAGGTTAAACCAATACTGCAACTTGGAACTTCTACCCTCATTCGGGAGGGAGGACAATGACCAATGGAGGTCCCATTTCGTATTGTCCTCACTTACGCACACAATCCCCGGCGCGTTTTGGGGTTTTGATAGGCTGAGGCCTTGCAAGACACAGTCATGTCCTTGCGCCTTCAGGTGAGAGGGAGTTACACCACCATTGGAGGACCCAATGCGTAGTGCCCATAACAATTTGGGGGGCGTGACCCACCCTGTTAATTTATAGTTATCTCGCGACTCCACTCCTATCATTGAAGTCGGGGCAAAATCAGAACTTGCCGGCAACACAGTATCCACTACCAATGGAGGACCCATTGCGTAGTGGTCAGAAATCATATATATCAGAGTTCATATAACAGAATCAGAATATCCACTACCCACTACCAATGGAGGACCCATTGCATAGTGGTCAGAAATCACATATATCAGAGTGCATATAACAGAATTAGAATATTCACTACCAATGGAGGACCCATTGCGTAGTGGCTAGAAATCACATATATTAGTTGCACCGTATATATGCATGCATAATAGTCATTCATTCATACTTGACTCTTTTCAAAAGGTCAGGAGCATTCAACATTTGTAGGATCATAAGCATGCCATTTCGGTGTCTCATTACAGAAAATTCAATCACCTTGCAAAAGGATTAAGCTATGTTCAGAAAAAAACGTTACTGCATGATAGGTGCATAATTCATGTACAACTTAAAATTCATTGGTGTTCTTAGTAATCATGGCATATACAGAATGAGGCATAGCACCCAAATTGTGAGAGGAATTTAACTAAATTCCGATTCCAATTTACTAACTGAATATTACTTGATCAATTTAGGGTTCAGTATATTGTTCTGAACTTGGCTGAATTCTTCCAATAGCGACATATGTTCACAATTCAAATCACAGCTTACAACTTAGCAGGAATTTCAAAACACTTTCAACATGCAACTTTTAGTAGACATTCAGAGCTTTCAAAAGACTGGTTTCGGAGTAATTGGACTCCATTTGGTCGGCCAACCTTCATGGCAACAGAGACCAAAATTCTGAGTTCTGTGCGATCTTTCAACAGTGACATACCGGAACATTCTTGAGCATAGCTCCTCATTTACACAGAATTTGGGCAAGGTTAAAACATGAGAATCATAGAAGACTCATGCATCTATCAAATGGCTGTGTTTTTGTGTCATTTGGGCCTCAAAAGGTTGGGCAAAGTTTCAACACAATAGAAGCAATATTTCTGGAATTTATCACAGTTTGCTAACAATGTCATATGAGCGCAGAATTAAGCATATCTTTAAAACTAGCAAGAATCTCAACTGGACATAAACATCAAACTCAAAATAGACTCGGAGATCTTTCAAATGGTGGTGATTTGAGGCCAAATGGATATCATTTGCTCAATCAAAATCTTATTACAAAAACATGAAAACTCCCTGGAAAATCACAGTCCAGCCATGACACACCTCCCAAAATCATCTCCTAACTTTCAATCTATGCAAGGTAACAACATGAAATCAATTCTAGCTTAAACTAGACTCACAAGGGTATCAATTCACCAATTTTCTTGCTCAACAAGAATGATAATAATGCCTAACAATTCATACAAAGAAAACCAAAATTTCTGAAAAAACAGAGCACAATGATCTTAATGCTATTCTATTCTTTATAAACAATTTCTACACCATCTCATACCCAATCTCATGCTTAAATTCAAGCTATCATGCATACCTAAATCATGCTTCATATATGCTTAGATTCATACTTCATTCATACATAATTCATACATCATTCATGCTTCAATTCATGCTTCAATGCTTATGGGTCTGCAAGGTAGTGACCTACTTACTGTTTTGTGTCCCCAAAGGTGATCCCAACTCTTTCCACAGTGACCTACACGAAGCTTCTCAAGCTCTCCAACAATGGCACGAAGGCTAAGCTTGGGCTCCCAAAACGTGAAGTGTAGAGAGAGAGAAAGAGAAAGAGACTTATACTTTTAAGGTGGGGAGGTGGCACACAGCGCTTGCCAAGTGGCCCTTTAATGGCATGCAGGTTGCTAATTGGCGTGCCTGGCAGCATGCAGTGAACGGGTGGCCATCTTGCCTCTGCCACGGCATCAACTCCTCTCTTCTTTTTTCTCCCCTATCGCCGCGCACGCGCACTCCCTCTCTTCTTCTTCTTCCTATCATCGTGGCACTCTCTCTTCTTCTTCTTCTCTTCTATCGCCACGTGCACACTTGCACGACACTCTCTCTTCGTCGCGTGCTCTTCTTTCCCCTCCCTTCTCCGTGCGCTTCCTTCTTCTATCGCCGTGCGCTTCCTTCTTCTATTGCCGTGGCACTCTCTCTTCTTCTTCTTCTTCTCTTCTATCGCCGCGTGCACACTCGCGCGACACTCTCTCTGCTTCTCTCTCTCTTTGCCGTGCGCTCTTCTTTCTCCTCCCTTCGCCACACGCTCTTCTTTCTCGTCCCTTCGTCGCGTGCTCTTCTTTCTCCTTCTTCTATCTTCTTTTTCCTTCTTCTATCGCCGCGCGCTTCCTTCTTCTATCGTCGCGCACTTCCTTCTTCTATCGCCGCACGCTTCCTTCTTCTATCGCCGCGCGCTCTTCTTTCCCTCCTATCGCCGTGCGCTCTTCTTTCCTCCTATCGCCGCGCGCTTTCTCCCTTCTCCCTTCGCTGCATGCTTCCTTCCTTCGCTGCATGCTTCCTTCTTCTATTGCCGCGCTCTTCTTCTTCTCTCGCCGCACGCTTTCTTCCTTCTCTCTTCGCCTCACGGCAGCAGCTTCATCATGCTCAAGAAATTTGGGTCGTTACAAAGAAACGTAAGGGTTATTATCTAGGATGAAGTTTCCACCTTGGGAAGAAATATAGTTGTTGTGGAGAGAACAAAATAAGTAATAGGAGGAATAGAAATGTGTACCTTTTAGGTAGAAGTCTCCTTTCTTAATCATGCAACCATTGAACCAAAAGCCTATCTCACCACAAACTCTTTTGTCATTTTATAAAGAACAATTGTTTCATGCGGGTTGGACCACATTTCTACAAATATGCTGTCCAGAGGTATAAAGCATTCATCTCAAAGATGGATGCAAATCGGTGGTCCCTCTATAAATAATTGTAACTAATGGTCCAAATGTTTTCTTAATGCAAATATTATTTATAGGTTTTGAATTTTCTTTTTTTTTTTCATATTCATTATATCCATGTTAAAGATTATATATTCTCTAAAAATTAGGATCAAATTATATTTAAAATATATATTTATTGCAAAGCCCGCATTTCTACAATGTGTAGGCTGGCCGCCTGCTAACCGTGTCCTTTTATAAATGTTGCCTGTAGTGCCATAAACGCTCCTTCACGAGCTATTTCTATTTAGATGATAAACTTCCTACCAATAGAATTAATCTATTAAATTATCTGCATTTAATATTTTAGTAAACTAAAGAA